GTGCACTACAAGAGACATTAGGAATGGGGATAGGATTGTTTCAAGGTAGTATTTTTTGCCCGTCCGTTCAGATCAACAGAAAGTTTGCAAAATGCTGTTATTTTTCAGGAGCTACTAACTTCTTTTTGAATGGAATCGTTTTATCTGTATTGTATGGAGGGTCTTCTCTCATAAACTCAGGTAGTTCAAAGCCGTTTTATAAGAGATTTAACTGGAGATTCCAGGTCAAATGTCTCCTGGAGAGCTGATGTCGTTCCTTGTCACTGCCCAAACCATCCAGAGGTCACTGAGTCAGCTTTCTGTAGTATTCGGAAATGCTGTGCGAGGTTGGACCGCTGGTGCAAGAGCGTTTGAGGTAAAATTGTCGGAAATCGAAAGTCTCCCTTGACAGTCTCATCGATTTCGCCGTTCATTGAAATTTTTTTGATCATGTTATAAAATTTTACCATTTGATATTTTTGGTTACCTATTACCGTGGTAATTTTGACTACTCATGCAAATTTGAAGTCTCCTCCCAACCATGGTCGTATTAATCGATGTTACTTCTTGTGGTCATATCTTACACACTATATTGAATTCTCACTTTTAGTTTGTCAATCTGCGCCCTTCCATACCAAATAATGACGGTGTCTGCATCCCCTACCACACGTTGTGGGGAGAAGTACGATTTGAAGACGTAGACTTTGCATACCCGACGCGACCGGATCATCAAGTGTTCGAAAAGTTGAATCTCACCATACCGGCGGGTCAGATTGTGGCCCTTTGTGGACCCAGTGGTGAAGGCAAGTGGTCGAAAAAGGTTCGAAGTGGCCTACTTAACATACCACTTATAGGAAAAACAACCATAACCTCTCTGCTGGAACGTTTTTATGAGCCAGTCTCTGGTCGAGTGCTTTTGGACAATCAAGATTTGAAGACTCTGAATGTAGAGTGGTTACGGGGTCAGGTTAGTCAGGACATCGCGCATTGTTCCAATCCTTTTAGTTATAATTTTTTATCAAATTATGGCTCTTCTTTGGGAGCCAAATTTCTTGAGCACAGTTGTTGTTTCTGTCAATGCTGTCTACTCGTTTTAGGTCATAGGGCTGATCTCACAAGAGCCCGTCCTGTTTGCAACTACTATCGAGGAGAACATCCGCTATGGACGACCTGGAGCCACTCGTAAGGAGGTACTTTACAAAAATTTTGTCTCGTACTTATATGAGCTTCTGAGTGAGATGTTACGATCTCTTTCAGGTCATCAAAGCTGCTAAGCTGGCAAACGCACATGATTTCATCGCCAAGTTCCCTGATGGATATAGCACGGTGGTAGGAGAACGTGGCGCACAGTTATCCGGAGGACAGAAACAGGTAAAATTCATGGCTCGATGAAGCTACATATCGTACTATGTTTTTTAGCGAATTGCAATCGCAAGGGCATTGTTGAAAGATCCACCTATACTCGTCCTTGATGAAGCAACTAGTGCTCTCGATTCCGAAAGCGAGCGCTTGGTGAGTTGAATCTTCTCATCATCATCTGTGTGCAAAAGTATTCTAATTACCTTTTTTGTTAAAAGTTTGAATGCTTATGTAAGCAAAGGGCGAAGCCGACATCGTCTTTAGTTGCAGACAGTTGGAGGATAAGGAACGATAGTATTCCACTTAGAACCCTTTGGGATGTTGTAATATTGCCACAGCACCTGTCAGCAATCAGTCTTGAGCTTTCTAAGTATCATGCTTTTTTAAAAAATGTTTT